GGGGGGGGGGGGGGGGGTGGTGGTGGTGCTGCTGCCAAATGACGAGAAACAAGTATTGTCCTAGAGCTTCCTCCCTAGAGATTTCCATCTTTCTTCTAGTTCTGGAACAACTTTTTTTACACCCAAATGAGGAACCTAGCTAATTCTCTGAGATTCTTTCCATTTTCAAATGCAAAGAAGATGACTCTTATAGAACAGGAAGGAGCCTGAATTCTAGTCCAATATTCTTTAGGTCCTCCCAGTCTCCAATTGTCATATGTGAAATGGATGTGGTGGCAGTACAGACTGCTGTGGGAGTCAGAGGAATGGCTCCAAAATGACAACGCTCTGGAAACAAACCTTTTTGCCCCCTAAGGTCTAAAAAATTGTCTTCGGGACCTCCTTTGGGTCAGATTGTCAGGATAATTGATGCTACCTGCTTTAAATCAGTGCCCAAGGTGGGAACTAAGAGACTAACCAGCACTGTTCTTCAGACCCGTGTACTTCTGACCACATGGTGCCACAATAAAGTCTCACGCATCCAGGTCCTAATTAAGGTGCTGTCAGTGAGGAGGCCCTTCATCAGAAAAAGGTCCCGACAAAAGCAACAGCAGACTGGGGTCTAGTTTTCTATCCTGGACAAGAATCTGACCTCTCCACTGACTCTCTTCCTCCAGTTGTCTCTCCAGCCAGGAGTTTAGTAAAAGGCCATGCACAATTCTAAGATGCTACACAGCCTTGCTGAAATGGTCCTCCCGAAACTATACCTATAGCAGGCAAGCAGAGTTTGGTTTTGTTGGTTCACTTCTAACACCCAACCTAGCACCTTACAGATGGGAGACTACTGTTTAAATTAGCAAAATAATCCAAAGTGTTTTCCCAGTTCAAAGGGTAAAAATCATACATCCACACAAAAGATTCCAGATCAAAACTGGATTGATTCCAAACAGCTTAAAATTGGAGAAACACAAGAAAGTCGATCAGGCTGGGCATCAGAAGGGCATAAATTGGCAAGAAATTAATATCTATAGGAAAGAGAGGAAGCCCTGCCCTCACACTCGAGCAGCGGTAGCTGAATCCTGCTTCTTCTAGTGGATTTCATCTTCCCTCTTACCTGCCAGCTTTCTACAACAAAAGATAAATACTAAATATTGAAAACAAATGTGCCTACCAATCACAAGATAAAAGTCAAGTTAAAGAAGTCAAGCCAATATTTAGTATTTTATGAAAGGAAGAGAATTCCTACAAGGTTCTTAAAGCTTAAATGCAAGGTAAAGGTCATGCTGGGTCCCAATACGAAAACCAAGCCAGCAATGTGGCTGGGGGCGGAGACACCCTACAGAGACAAAGGACACATCCAACCTGTAGGTAAAAACGAATGTGAACTTGAAACTCGAGGGGGAAAAAAGCTGACGGGCGGTTTCACTTGTGTTTCGCTTTTTCTGAATCCATTCGGCACCCCCTCTGTGAGGGATCTGGCAGCACGTGGTGCACCCCGAGGCACGATGACACTGCAAGCCTACCTGAAAAAGCCGTGTCCTCCACCCGCTCACCAAAAGCCTGCGGTTGGCCCTGTTCACACAGTTCTCTAGGGTACTCACGTGATTGAGAAATTTGCTGTCTCGCGTGGCCCAGCCGATCTGCATGACGCCAGAAGTGACCACAGTGACTTCGTAGTACCACACCCCAGCATCCACGCAGAAGGTGCAACGCACGCTTTCAAAAGAGGAAGCATCACAGCGAGCCTGGCAAAACCAAAGCGGGTCATAGTCTACCATCAATGCCTGGAGACTACCAAAGACAAGTGACCACTCAGAGGTGGAGTCTTTTTCCTTATCGAAGCTTCTGGTGGATGGTCATTTCCTTCTCTGTACATCCCCAGGTACAAAAAGTGCAAAACAGAATGAAGCACACTCTGTTTTATGGTTTTATCCCCAAGGAGTTCTAACAGGGTTGAAAGGCCTCAAAGATGGCCACAGGAAGAATTAACGAGGGCTACTGGCTTCTTTTTGAAGTACTTACAGGTATTTACCTTCACAGTGGAATCTTTTACAGATGCATTAACATGGCCTTAACCTGCACTTGTTAGGATGGAGACAGAGAAGGACATTGAAGGGTATAAGACGGGATACCCCAAGATAATCTAAAGCAGAAAACTACGGAGGTGTTTGGCAATACGCAAGATCAAAGAGCTGTCTGCAGCCACTCTTCAAACAGTTCTTTAATCTTGACATGTCTAGTGCCTTATGGTGCCTTCTTGTACAGAAGCAGCATTCACCAACGTGCACCGCAAAATCGGCAACATTTCCAACACACAGGGAAGAGGGGGAACATTAGACAGAATACAACTGGTTATGCAGGGATTTAAAAAGGAAGGGCTTCTTTAGGAAACACTAGTCTTTGTACCTTTAGCTGAATAAAATGGCAGAGATTGAAAACAGACATATTTACATCAAATTTTCTATAGAGAACAAACAATTGCTGGAGGGGAGGTGGGTGGAGGGATGGGTTAAATGGGTGATGGACATTAAGGAGGGCACTGGTTGTGATGAGCATTGGGCGTTGTATGTAAGTGATGCATCACTAAATTATACACCCGAAACTAATCTTTACACTGTATGTTAACTGGAATTTAAAGAAAACTTGAAACTACAAAAAAAAAAAATCAAATTGTCAAAAAATATTATAGTGCTTACTTACTATGAGTATAGCACGTGTGGGATATAAAAGACTAAGTAATATCCCAAACACCTTCTGTCTGCCAGTTCTACCTCTAAACACTCCTGGAGTATGAAATGAACTTCCATCTATTCTGCAAAAAATTGCTTTTTTGTTCAGAACCAGGGTGTGAAAATGAGACCAAGATTTCTTCCCCCTGAATGTTCCATCCATGAAAGCTTTACCTCCAAGCCATGAGGCGAGATCTTCAGGTACTCGCTGACATCGTTGCTATTCAGCATGGCCCTAATGCTATTCAAGTCCACTTTCTCATAGGTCAGCTGCCTACTGTCTTTTAAAACTGCAAAAGAAAAAGTGGTCATGTTTCTAAGGCAGGCTGTTGTGGGGAAAAAGCTAGTGTCATCACTGGCTGCCATTCTAGTTAAGGGGAGGTGCTCAGAAATGGCAGAATTGGTAGGGAGACTTAAAGACCTTGGCTCTGGTGCTGCACGACCACGTGAGGATCAATTAAGCAAAAGTTAGGACAGGCTAGGACAGCACTGTGAGGTTCATGCTTCTGCTCTCTGGATTTGTTATTTTGCATGCAACCAAAGCCAAGCTATACTTTCTAAGAACGATTCTTTCACTGGCACCACACAGGCCGTGCACAAAGCAACTCCCCACAGTGCTGTGGCAGGAGCAGGGGGTGCACACGTCCAGCCGTGCTTCTGCACAGTGCTAACTCTGGAGGGGGAGTGAGGATTAGTAGTAGGGGTAGTTTTAGTTCTAGCAGCTGTTGAAAGGGAACAAGAAAAGCTGGGAGCAACCCTCCTCATATAGGTAAGACGAGTCTTGCGTTTTGAAGAGCCAAGTTAGGATAAGGAGGACAGTAAAGACAGAGAACTCCCAGTGAGGGAAAGGCCCAGAGGCAGGAATGACTGGGGCCCGCTTATAGGACAGTGAGGAGATAGTTTGTGTCAGAAGAGTTGATTAGACACTGCTATTTTTTAAAATTTATTTTTGAGAGAGAGACAGAGACAGAGAGAACAGGGGAGGGGCAGAGAGAGAGGGAGACATAGAATCTGAAGCAGGTTCTAGGCTCCAAGCTGTTAGCACAGAGCCCAACATGAGGCTTGAATTCATGAACCGCAAGATCATGACCTAAGCCGAAGTTGGATGCTTAACTGACTGAGCCACCCAGGTGCCCCACTGCTATTTTTTTTAATGTTTACTTTTGAGAAAGAGGGAGAGAGAAAGAGAAAGAGAAAGAGAAAGAGAAAGAGAGAGAGAGAGAGAGAGAAAGAAAGAGAAACAGAGTCTGAGCAGGCGCATGCACGTGGGGGAGGAGTGGAGAGGAAGAGGGAGACAGAGAATCCCAAGCAGGCTCCATGCTATGAGAGCAGAGTCCGATGCTGGGCTCAAACTCATGAACCATGAGATCATGACCTGAGCTGAAATCAAGAGTTAGACGCTTAACTGACTGAGTCACCCAGGCACCCCTAGACACTGCCATTTGATTAATGGCCCTGATGCAGCAGGAAGTAGGGTATCAGTAAAAGTTTGTGAACAGAAAGAGTGCTGGAATTAGAAGCATTCCATATAATTCTTATCTAGAGGGTCCCTAGAATGTTTTTCTGCTAGAATACAGCCAAGCTACAGTATAGGACCTTATAAGGTAAGTGTCACATTCACTATTACAAAATAGTGAATTACAGAATAGTGGTCCTGTGTAAGAAATGGGTTTGGAAGGGGAAACAGGCTTTTTCCTTTTTGGAAGGACAATTGCTACTTACAGAGATTGTCTAAGCTCCACTGGGCACAGAACCCGACTTGACGTTTCAGATAATCAGGATCATCAGCCCAGGACTCCAATGTGACAAGCCGGTCACTAATACTGGATTCAGAGATAGTTAATTTATTTTCACCTGTTTGGGAAGACATAAACCTTGAATTAACCATGAAAGGGTAGGATGATTTGCTGGGCAGGTAAGGGGTGGGAAGGAGTGAGGACAGGCAATTAGAAAACTTGGAAACTAGAATAAGGACATAGCCCAGGAGCCTTGACTACTTTCTGGGAAGTAGCAATCTCATCACTAATGTTTTTTTTTCTTTTTTAGGTTTATTTATTTTGCGTCAGAGAGAGAAAGAGAGAAAGTGCAAGTGGGGGAGGGGCAGAGAGAGAGGGAGAGAGAATCCCAAGCAGGCTCAGTGCTGTCAGAGCAGAGTCTGATGCAGGGCTCAATCTCATGAATTGTGAGATCATGACCTGAGCAGAAGTTGGACACTTAACTGACTGATTCACCCAGGCACCCCTCATCATTAACTTTTTAGCTACAAAAAGTCAGTAACCATGGTCATTAAGCTTTGATTCTTAGGTGAGAAACTCTTGGCTTTTGTCCCTGTTATATCTCACTGGCCTTGAAGTGTCTACCCAAATACGGAACTTGTACCTGTTTGATGGGGCTCAAAGCATAAGCTCATCCAGTAAGTAATAAAAATAAGATTTTTAACAGCCAGTTCAGAAGATCATTAGTGCAAGAAGTCACTATACCTACTTGTCTGTGCAAACTTTTCCAGCGCAATAAGTGCAAAGAGCATGACTGTGGGGTGGGACTGTAGCTTCTGAAAGACAACAAAAGATAGAGAAACATAAAGCAAAAACATCATTTCCCTGCAGAGGCGGCGAGTTACCAATTTCTTCTTCTTACCCAATATGTGCTTGATTTTTTTGGAGCAATCAGAAGAGTTTTACTCACTTGAGTCCTTAATCCTCTGTTTGCTAATACTGCTAGTAATAAGGAACCAAGACAGAGTCTCATAAAATTGTATATTATTTTCTTGAAGCCACCGGGTTCATTTATAGATATGCAAATTTCAGAAGTATTTTGTTAAATGCACTGTGTTATTCCACTTAGTAACACTTATATTAGGGCTTTGTGAAAGAAAACCATGCGGATTCTTACATTGATTTAAGCAAGCCAAACAGAAACCTAGAATGGTAGCTAAGAATGACTTTTATTCAGAAGCCTTAAAGGAACCACACATTACTACCAGGTTCCAAAATTATAAATGATGGAATGAATACCTTATGGCTTAGTTCTCAGTCTGTTCTCTGCAAGGAAATCCACAAATGCTAATGGTAGGTGGGATAGCGCTCTTTAAATTACATTTAACTTCATATCACATGTGTTCATCATTTAAAGAAAAACCTACCTGCTTAACATCACACCTTCTCAGAGCCATCCTTTACCGCAGCTACGTTAGCAGCTTGCAAAGGAGCTCTAGAACATCAGGTGATTCCTACTCACTTCCCTGGGGCTCAAAGGTTCTGCAACTCTCATGCAACCACCAGCATGCCCTGCAGCAAAGCCTGTTCAGTACCCTGCTTCCTGCCATATCCACTCTCAATTCCTCAGTCTGGTTTTTCAGGCCCAGAGCCCTCCCCATCAGGATGTTCAGGCCTGTCCTCCTGTCTCTAAACACTGTCTCCTGAACAGACAATTCTCTGTAATATGCCAGGAGCATGGTCATTTCTATCTCTGAGCTTCTGCTGGTGATGGGCCCTTAGCCAAAACCCATTTTTCCTTCCAGTGTGCACAGTCAAATCCTAACCTATGATGTGACCTAGCTGAGATGCCACCTTCATCTGGAAGCCTGTCTCCCATGGCTCTCCTGGCCCTTACCACCACCATCTTCCACCTCCCCATCACCTTCTCAGTACTCTTATGGCATTTAGTCTGAGAGAGGGGATTTTGCCCTTGATCATGCCCTGTCATAAAACGGAGGCTGTCTTGTCCGAGTAGTTCTGTTCCCCCCGTTAACCAGGAAACTTCTTAAGGGCAAAGGACTGGTTATACTACTTTTGTATCCCCACAGGGCTTGCTTAGCATGGTGGGGTGTGTCTTAGGTACATCTCATATAAGTATTGAAAAATAAAGTCTTTCAGATTTTGAAGAAGGCCAATGCTCAGGAGGCCTGCAAAAATAACTTTAACAAATACAGACCAGTCAAGTCTGCAGTCCAGCAGTGTAAGAGATCTGACAGCACAACCTCAGCAAACCGCAAGCTTCACAGACAATAGATCAAGTACTCCACGACAACAGTTATAAGAGCAGTAGCCAGAGGGGGAGGGAAGAAGTGGAGATTTATATGCACTGGCAATCTGACCTGACAGTTTCCTGGCTTGGAATGCCATGTAATTTTGTTTCCGCTGCAGAGGTCCCTACTACCATTTGGCCGACCCTAAGGACACACACACAAAAGCCAATCATAGCAGCTATCTTAGGACTAAATTTAAAACCAGACCAACTCAGCTGCTTTTGCTTGCAATAAATTCCTAACCCGCCCTCATTTTTTTTTCTTTTTTTTGAACATAGGAGGGAATAGATAAACACTCAGGAAACACCTGCAAATAAAATTTATAACTGATTCCATTCTCTGTGCCAGTGGTTAAGCTGGCAATTTTAGAAAAATGCACAGTTGTAGATGACTAAGAATAACTGGCTTTGATGCCTCACTTACCAGACACTGTAGCAAATATTCCAGTATTCCTGGGCTAAGTAAGCCTATACTTGCAGGACCTGGACAAACATAACAAACACAAGATACAATGAAATGGGCCATATTCTTTTTCATCAGTAACTAATAACAGTAAAATTGTTTTTTAGAACTCTTTGACAAGGTACTCTCACGCACAGTGTCTTATTCAAGCCTCCTGCTCTGAGGCAGGGAATAGTACTGTTTCTATTTCACAGCTGAGCAATGGAGCCCACAGTGAAGTCACTCATTCTGGTGCATTTGGGGTGCACATGGCAGAATCGGAGGCAGTACCCACGGGTCCTGATTTGGAATCCATTGTTTCTTCCACCATACAGGATTCTAACTAGCTGAGCTCTTCACCTGCACTTTGATGCTAACTTTCCTAAAGTGGGTAATGTTCATAAATAAGTTAAATATCTGCTTCTCTTCTCAGGAACTGCTCCAATGACAGTTCCTTTTCTTCTTCTCCTACCTTGTAGGTCTCTATTATCTAGCTAAACTCTATAAAGTGCATAAATGTATATTATCTATTATATGCATAAATATATACTTCCATAATCTTTATTTATTATACTGAATGTAACCTTTTATTCTTAATTTTAAAGCAAATGAGTACAACTTTTTCTTTTAAATGTCTCTCTGGGGGCGCCTGGGTGGCTCAGTCAGTTAAGCATCCAACTTCGGCTCAGGTGATGATCTCCCAGTACGTGGGTTTGAGCCCCATGTCGGGCTCTGTGCTGACAGCTCGGAGCCTGGAGCCTGCTTCAGATTCTGTGCCCCCCTCTCTCTCTGCCCCTACCCCACTTGTGCTCTCTCTCTCTCTCTTTCTCAAAAATAAACATTTAAAAATAAATAAATGTCTCTGAAAATCCTCAAAGCTAAATTAGATTGCATTCATCTCTTTGGACTTTGAGTACTTTTTTTCCAGTTAGCTCTTGTCCCTCAGTATTAATTAAATTAAATTAAATTAAATTAAATTTTTATTTTATTTCTTTTGAGACACTCCTTTCTGATACAGGTTTGATTAAAGACCTGCAATCTTCTCCATCATGTCAAAAAAACTGAAGATCTTTCTTGGTAGAGGTTTCCAGAGTTACCTGCTAGTTTCTCAGCCAAGCAACCTAGGACTGCAGATGTGTTCCTGTGTTTAGCAGGATGACCTGAGTCCTGGCAAGCTACTTCTCCATTTAAATTGAGAATTTCAGTCAATTTCTGGAGTGCATCCTAAAAACAAAAATGTACAAGGGAATTTGGTAAATATATCATCACTTAGGTTTTTTCCTCCAGGGGAATCATTTGAGACAAAAGCTATAGCCAGTTATGAAATTAACTCAGAATGCACCTACAAAATGATACAATGCACCCAATGATATCAATGTTATTTGATCAACCTGGAAGTTTTCTTACATGAATTGCTAGATTCTACTTCATTCAAAATGTAGGGGCGCCTGGGTGGCTCAGTCGGTTAAGCGTCCGACTTCGGCTCAGGTCATGATCTCACAGTTCGTGAGTTCGAGCCCCGCGTTGGGCTCTGTGCTGACAGCTCAGAGCCTGGAGACTGCTTCAGCTTCTGTGCCTCCCTTTCTCTCTGCCCCTCCCCTGCTCATGCTCTGTCTCTCTCTGTCTCAAAAATAAACAAACATTAAAAAAAAATGTACCAGTTGTATTAAAAAAA